GTATCTAGTCGAAGACATTACCCTTCAAAATTGAAAAAATTTCCCTCGTTCCCCGTAAATGGGGGAAACCTCCAAAAAAATTACAAATTTAAAAATCGCTAATTTTCGAAATTTTTTCAATTTTTTTTACTAAAAACTGCCGTAACTTTTTTAAAAATAAACATATCAATATAATATTTCTTTTTATAGATGAATGATGTCATTACCTATCATTTGGTATATTTGTTTATAAATCTGACCCTTTACCTGCCCACAGAAGGGAATTTAAAATGACAACTTTTTTTACAAAAAATCAATTTTTTCAACTTAACTTTTTAAAGTGTTCCAACACTTTTATATATATCTTAAATTAAATCTAATGTAATATACTTTAATTTGAAAAAAAAAATTTGACCTCTGGACTTGTCTTCGCGGTGAAAATGGCTACCAAATGCTATTTTTGTGTGAAAATTCTCGATTTTATTTTTTACATTTTTAACTTTATAATGCTATGACATATTGAAAAGTGTATGTATCAGCATAATTTTTTTATGAGAAATAATATTTTTTAATAATCCCTTTTTCATTCGACATACTTTATCTTAATCGAGATATTAATAAGGAACCAGCAGATCATAAATATATATTTATTCTTATATTATATTTTAAAATCAAAGAACTACTAATCATGATATAATTAAGGAAATACGAGTTGATTTTGGAATAATACACCGATTTTTTAAAATTAAACACTATCTAAAGATTTGCATCGAAGTGTTTTTTCTTGATAGTGATATTGATACTTGATAGTGATTTTGATACTTGATCCAACTATGCCACGTCACCACTGTGCCGCGTCCCCCCTATGCTGGGTTTTTTTGTTTTACTATTGTATGTACTATATGTACTATTTTGTTAGTGAAAAGTAACCCTATTTAAACTACTATTAAAATATGCATAATTATTTGATTACATTCAATTAACCAAATTTTTTATGATTAATAACGCATAATAAGATAAAAGTATTTTTTTGATTAGAAGTTTAGCAGTAAACGTATCAAATGTGCTATATGTTGCATAAAAAAAAATAACATTGAAATATTGCTGAGTATGCTAGTTATTTTTAAGTAAGAAATTTATATACTTAATTGTATTTATTTTAGTTCTATTAAAATGTCAGTACAAATAAATAAATAAATAAATAATTTATTTTTTATATATTTTACACTTAACTCGAAATAAATAAAGAAATAAACATTGAATAAAAAAAATATGCTGATTAACTTTTTAACAAGTAAGCAATGGATAAATATTTTTTTTAAATTCTTTGTTGTATGCACTAAGAGAAATTTACTACCTATACAGTTTTTTAATAAAATCAAATAAAATTTAGTTATAAATGTAGATATACATACAAACTAAAGACTTTAGAATATATACATATATATATATATATATATATGAACTTAATTTCATATTTAAAATTATTAATTGTGATTCACTTATAGACAACATATTTTATTATTTTGACTTTAAAATAATTGACTTAATGCTGGATATAGTTTAAGATTAATCAAATGTATTGCCTTAATATGGTATGAAATTTTTTTTAGCATCACATCTGGGACAGTACATTAAAAATATTACTTTGAAAATTTGAAATTTTACTTAAGTACTGAGGGGTTCAACAATATATATAAAGAAGTCATATAACCTATGAATATTATAAAAAAACCTACGTTTTACAAAACAATATGAAATCTACATTTATTTAATAAACGTTAAGATTAGAAAATATTCATACTCAAGACTTTTGGATGTGTGAAAATAGTTGTAAAATTTAAAATCAAATTAATTTTGTCCAAAATAATTAATTTGTGTTATTAATTTGTATTACATTTCAAGAAGTTAATTCTAAGCATTTTTTCAATATGTGTTTATTATTTACAAAACAAAACTATTTGAATTTATTCTTAAATTATAAATAAGTAGGTGAGAAAAATATTCAAGATTTTATAGTTTTTTTTAATGTTAATCTCTTTCGGATTTCAATGTATACATTCAAAGGCACAAATAGTGTTATGAACTTAGGTGTGCTCAAGTTCTAAAGACCAAAATAATTTATCTCGTTCTACTGAATATGATGTAGTGAAGCTTTTATTAATCTATTTATAAATAAGCAATTATGTATAACATTACAAACATTTATTCCTATTATTGTAGTATTTCGACTATAATTATTAAAACCAAAACATATTACAAGTTATTTATAAAAAATACACATACTACATTGATGACATTACTCACTCGCAATATTAAAAGATAAGATATCAAAGAAACAGTAATTATTTTTACAAAAATTTGGGATACTATTATACTTTTCCTTACAAAATTTTGAAAGAACGGTAAAATATGCTTGGAAGTGCTAAATAACAAAAGCGCGCCCCTATGGCATCTATGTATACCGTAGATTGTGATGGGTTTATTTTTTTGATGTTGAAAAGAGGATTTTGTGATCAAGTGCTATGAAAATAACTGATGTAGACAATTTTAATTTTACTTCTGTATATTTCAACTAATTTTATTTTAAATATTTCCATAGAACAAATTTGCCAAAAGAAGTAATGGAATATCCAGATTTTCATTACCAGATTAAAGAGAACAAGTCCTATTTGGATGGTAGTAGTGTACAACAATATTTAGAAGATTATGCTGAAAATTATGGATTAAAAAAATATATTAAAGTATTATTAGTTAAAATTAAATATTACATAAAATGATTTTTCTATGATTTTATAATTATTACAGTTTAACTATCATATAAAAAAGGTTAATCCCTTGGAAGGCAAGCGATGGCAAATTATTGTGACTAATTTAAAAACAAAGATCATAGAAACGTTGGATTTTGATCAAATAATAATTTGTACAGGGTAAATATATCTACAATTTTAGATTAATATTTCTTATATTATATTTAATTACTCTCATTTTGGGATATTGTTGTCGTAGCATTCAATGAATATAGGTTTTTTTTTATTAATCTTGAAACTTTAAAAGCAAAGGCAAGTAAGTACAGTATTAATAATACAGTGTTAGATTATTTGCAAGTCTAAAATTTTACAGTATTTACTTTATATTAAATTTAGTTTTACAAATTGGTGTTTTTGAGAAAATTTAACATTAATTCGGTTTGTTTTTGTTTGGGGTCAAATGTTATGTAGAGGTTTGGATAAATATCTTATTTAGTCTGTTAAATTTTGTATTTGATTCATTCAGTAATGATATATTTACTGTAAGGGCCACTTCATAGGTTTCACATTTTGGTAGGTCAATTTTTGATATGTGGTGGTATCCTTGAGTAAGTCCGCATATGTTTATTGTATTGAATTAAACATTACATAATTATAATTTTAAGATAAGATGCATGGTTAATAATGATAAAGTTGACACATAGATGCATAGATATATGATAATGTAAATGTTACGACAGGTAAATTAATTATTTGAGTTAAAGTATTTTTTTTTTATAATTTTTAGTTTTAAATTATAAAATTATTTGTTTGTATATTAGTAAATGATTATAGTATTGTCTTCGATATATGTAAGATAAACAATGCAATGCAGTATATAATGACATATAATAATTAAATTTTTTATGTTGTTAACTCATATTTATAATAATGCATATTATTGTAAATTTCAGTAACTTCTGTCATCCAAAAATACCAAATATCGAAGGAATTGAAAATTTCAAAGGTATAACAATTCATAGTTTTGAATATAAAGTACCTTCCAAGTTCGAAAATAAAAAAACGGTAGTTGTTGGCAGTGGATTTTCTGGCTTGGACATTTCATTTGAAATTTCGAATACAGCTTCAAAAGTATAACTTTGAAGTAGAAATTATATATTTACGTAGAAACTTAAATAATCAATTTTTAGGTTTATTTAAGCCATCATTCTGAAAGACTTAAAAATTCTCTTTCTGGAAATATTCCTTCAAACTTTATCCAAAAAGGTGATATACATAATATTTTGGAAGACGGTGTTATATTTGATGATGGTTCATTTGAAACAGTTGATTCAATCATATTTTGCACAGGTGTGAATTGATTAATGATTTTATAATAGAAATTTATACTCTCACATAAACGACAAAATTAGGTTAGAATATTTTCAGATTGAGATTTAAAATATGGACGAGTTGAACTTAAATATTTACTTGATATCATTGTTTATAACAATTGTACCGATTTTTCACATATTGAAAACATTCTGCGTTTTATTTTAGTACATTTAATTAATTTTACCTAATATTATATCTTTTATTTTGTAGGATATAAATTTGATTATCCATTTTTAAGCCCGGAGTGTGGTATTTACATAGAAAATAACCATATTCAACCACTTTTTAAGCATATAGTTAACATTGAACATCCTACAATGTGCTTTTTAGGTATTCCTATCAAAACAGCCCCGTTTCCTTTGTTTGATTTACAAGTATAATATTTTGATGATTTATAAATTATATATAAAAATATTGAAACTTTTTCAAAAATATTTACTTTTTTTAGGCACGATTCGCTAAAACATTTTTATCAGGAACTAAATGTCTACCTAACAAAGGAGATATGTTAGAAGATACTCGTAAAGATGTGGAAAAAAGATTAGCTAACGGAGCGCGAAAAAATGAACTACACGATTTAGCTGCAAAATCTAAGGACTATTTTGATGATCTTGCTAATTTTGCTGACATTAAGCCAATAGCTCCTGTAATTCTTCGTATTTTTTGCGAGGCTTTTATGCGTGTCATGACTAATTTTTTCAGCTATCGAAAAGATTTGTATAAAATTATTGACAAAGTTCACTACACCGTCAAATATACATATGAAGAAAATCCCATCACGAAGTGAAACATGTAGTTTAAAAAACTAAAGAGTAATAAAATTATGGATATAACTGTTATTTGATTAAGTTTAACATTTGTTAAAAAAGTAACTTATATAATTAATATTTTTTTTTATTATTATCATATATATTATATTAATTTTCCAATTTCATTATTTAGATTTTGCTAAATATTTGTTTAGAATAAAAACAGATGTTCAAATATACAAAAATAATTTAGTCCTACTTTTTATTATTATCAGTGCGTCTTTATTTAAGCTATCATTTAGATGAGTTATTTTGTAAAGTAACTCTTTTGAAAACATTATTACATAAAAGTAGTTGTTGACAGTGGAGTTATGTTTTTTTATGTTTTAGAATTATGTTGTTAATTCATATTCATAATAATGCATATTATTGTAAATTTGCTTAAAATTTAATAAAAAAACTAAAATAGACATTTTTTAAGTATAATTAACTACATGTTACTGTAGAGATTTTTAAATAAATTAGATTTTTCTTTAAGCAAAATTAAAAATTATTGTCATATCTTTAATGAATAGTACTGTACATTTTGTGATCGATTTAAAACACAAATCATTCTTTAAAAATTGTTAATTTTTGTAATAATAAAAAATTTTTGGAATAATAAGAGGAACTACTTTTTTAATTTGATTATATGATAGGAATAATAACTACAAAAAATGTTTTCATATAATTTTATTTGCATGTTATTATGAAATAAATTTATTTATAAGCAATCAATTTAAAAAAAGTACTTAATAATAAAAAGAATAATTTTTTGAAATATACAATTCGAGTTTTATTAGAAAAGAGTTTTTTATTAATTAAATTGAGAAAAAAATATTTTGATTATTAAATTTAAGGTTATATAATGAGTATAAATGTTTTATGCATATACAATATGATGATTTATTAATTATATGAACGAAAAGACGAACAAAATAAAGTTTGATTTTATATAACCATAGTAAATAACAACTTTATTACATGACAATTTTTTTTCTAAACGTGTATTGTATAAGTAGGTTTCAGAAGTTTCAAAATAGAAACCTATTATTATTTTTTAATATTAAATGTTGAATAGTCAAAATAAAATTTTGTAATATTACTTTTAAAAAGGTGAGGAGTGGAGAGTGCTATCGTCTTCTATTTTTACTATAAAACAGTGAAAAATATTTTTTTTACGTTGTGCACCGCTCTTGCTTAATACTAAAAATTATAATTATATTAAAAATTTTAAAGTTAGTAAATGAAGACTATTGTAATCGTATCCAAATTGTATGTCAGATAGTTCAAACACAGTCTTATCCTTTAATGTTTGAGCTGATTATTTTCTTAATTCTTCCGTTTTTTGTAAAACTACTGATTTAACGTACCAAGAATCTCTTGTCATTAGAATTTGATACCGAGCAATTAAATCTACAATCTAAATTTATAATTTCTAATATTTCAGAGGAATATTACAAAACTTCAATAAGATTTTATTACTTCATTGGCCATTTAATTGTGTAAATGATAATATAGGTTTCACTTTTAAAATTCACTCTTAAAAATAATTTGATAATTATAAAAAATTAAAAAATAATTTATAGCTTTGAAGCGATGCTGAAAAGGTATTAGTTTGACCCAAATAAGTGTTTTTTTTGTCCATGAAAATTCTCAGCTTTCACAGAATTGATTTTGTTAATGTATACGTCACAAGAACCTGATTTTAATCTAGTTAAACTTATCAGCATCAATATTTAAAAAAAAGCTCTTAATTTTAGAAATTAAAAAAAAAACCTTTTATGTTTCTGTATAAAAAAGCATTTTTTAAAAAAAAAATTTGCACTTAAAAACGCTCTTAATAAAATTTGAATAGAGTATTAGAAACAATAAGCTTTTTTTTAGTATGCTATTTATGAAACTTCGATAAAAACCTAAGTAAAGGAATAGTTTAAAAGTAACTATCAACACACAAAAAAGAAATTGTTTTGAACTCAATTTTAAAAAATTTTCCTAGTCGATAACGCTCGTATATAATTTTTTATGTTCTTACTATTATAAATGAGATTAATTTTAATCCCGATGCTTACACATATGAATTTTATATCAATTTTATTAGTAAATTTTGAATCAATTCAGTTTAAACTTTAATAATTATTAAACTATTGTAATGTCGAACAGTATCTATGTATAATTTTTATATTCTACTTACCACTTAAAATTGGCAAGTAAATCTACTTTTCATTTTTTACAAAAATACCTCATAAAATATAGGTAACTTTTTCAGATATTACTAATCTCTGGATAAAAGTTGATACATTTTAGCAATAAACCAAATGGTTCAATAATATTTTTATCTCTTTTCTTCATAACAAATCAAATATGAGTTCTTAAAAAAAATAATTCGTACCCGATTGTGGTAAAATTACAGTTATAGTTTTAGTTTTGTTATTGCCTACAAAGAGTAAAATTTGGTATGTCAACAAAAATAACACTGCATTATTTCAAAAAACTTATAATTATTATAACAAAAAAAAAATTAACTTGACAGAAAAACAATTTATATTTAATATATTATAGACCTTGTGCACTTTAAGTTGGTAAAATAAAACTTTGCAATAGATCGATTAACAGTAGAAAAAACCTAAGTTTTTTTATGTTATATTTATTTATGTTTATCTTGCTGAATTTAATTATAAAACAAAAAAAAATATTCATAGCATGCATTATTATACTAACTTTATTTATATAAAAATTAGGCAATGTTAAAATACTTTTGTGAAGCAAATTTGTCTCATATCCAACTGTCATTTTATTTCAATAATTTAAATTTTATTAATATTGACACTATATTATTATGTATTCAATTCGTACCATACAGGCATTGTTAGACTGAAACTGAAGAAAATAGATAGTCTTTATTATGATTTTTCTTTCTTATATTTTCTTCTTTCTTTTTCTTTGCTAACATCGGTTTACAATTTATCGCAGTGAATAATTTAAGTTAATCACAATATGATGATTTTTGTCTTATAAATAAATACATTAGTTTATCTAATATCAAAAAATGTTTAATATACAAAAATTTCAGTAAGTAAATAAATGAAAACCGGCGTACAACTGTTTTATTATAATTAAAAGTAAGTAAATTAATTTTTTTTAAATTAAATGAATGTCGAAAAAAAAATAAGGAATTAGATACCTCGCATTTAAAAATAAATTATGGAATAAGATACCCAAATATTAAACGTCATCAATATAAATTGCATTTGTATTTACTAATTTGTTAATTTTCTTGCCAATTATCTTAAAAATTGATTTGTATTTTAATAAACTATTGTTCAATTTGATTCCATTTTTAATATCTTTAGCTCTTGCGTGTTGATCAGAAGGCAAGTGAACGTGACTAATAATTATTGTGTTATCGTCATCGACGACTGGTTGTTCATCATTGTCTAAGAAGTCCATATTAGAAGAGCATGATATTATCACTGGGCTACAATATCCTTCATCGTCTACGGTCGTGTAGGAAGAGCAAGATGAATCAAAACTAGATGAACTAGATAATATAATTTTCAAGTTGGATTCATTATCAACTTGATTTTTAATTGGTTTGGTCAACTTTTTCGCATAAAATTGTTCTACACGGTTGAATGTATTGAAGACCCATTCTTCAATTTTTTTGTCGGGTAAACTTGAAATGACATTCAACGTAAAAAAATGCTGATAAAACAATCTAATAAGATATCTATTAGAAAAACTACCAGTTTTTTTATAGTCTTCAAAACCAGCTTTAAAAAATGCATCAATTTTTTCCAATGTCTGTTCTATATTCCATGTGTTAACTTCTTCCCAAATATCATCTTCTAGCTTTTTTTCAGCAAAACCAAAACCCGATACTATCTTACAAGATTTTTCGGTTGATTTTTTTTTCTCCTCATCAATCATTTCAAGATCAGTAACATCAATTTTAATATCGTCATACCCAATTTTTTCTCTGTACAAAGCCGTATAGTACATTTTAATGGGCTCTTCGTATGACGGTATATTATAGTACTTTTTGATTTTATCTACTACAGAATTTGGGACTAGCGTGATTTGAAGTTTGTCTAATAAATGTGATAAGTTTTTCACATCGATAATTGCTTGTAAATTAGCTGCACCTAGTTTTTTTTCATAAAATTTCCATAAAACAATAGTATCTATATCGGTTGATATTGGATGATCGCTTTTAGGAATCATTGAAAAGTCAATCTCAGTCCTTTTCATTATATTAAAGTTGTATGTTTTTGATTTCACAATTAACAGAATAATTAAAGACAAATTTTAAGACACTTTTAGCTTACAACACAACTGAAATACAAATGAACTACTAAATACATCTAAACAAAGTTGGTGGTTAGGGTAATATTTTTCTTAATTTATTTATGCTAAGTAACAGATTATTTGTACATTTATGAAATAATTATTATTAGTACTATAAGTTATAAAAATATGTCAATTTTGTTTGATAACAGAACTATTTTAATAAAAATAAACGCGTATTTATAAATAAATTAATAAGTAAGGAGGTAGCAGTATTTATCATAAAATAATTTGGACTAGCATAAAAAAATTGTAATTTAAATATAAATTAATTAGATTAATTAGAATTTTTCTAATTGTTTCACTAATTTTATTTTTATTTTATGAACTTATAAATAAATTTTTAATATTTTCTATTTGCAGTGATCTTTATTATAAAAACTTACTATATCTTTAAAAAACATATTGTAATACATTTCAATATTCTTATGAAGTGTAGAACGATTCTTGTTTTGACACGATTTACTATTATCGAAGAAAAAGCCAGATATTTGCTAAATTCAAACAGTAACATAATTTTGTACTTATAATATTTAATAATTATTCATACTTACACACGTTTGTAAACAAGTGATAACAAAAAAGCGTATAGTAATATTTATTTAATTTATATTAACTATTATTTAAAATTTCGCTTATAAGACAATAGTATGTATGAAAAAGTGACGATATTTATGTGTAATAACTTATGCTTAGAAATATTAGAGTATATTTAAAATATAATGAATAATTATAACTAAAAATGTATATTTGATTTTTATATTTATAATTAAAATAATGCAATGATGGATGTTTATTTATGAACAAATATACTAATGTTATTTATTGTCACGGGTTTGCGCCGTAGTGTACAAACAAAAGTTATTACAGTATAGTTGTAGATGTGGTTGTATGCACCAGCATATCTTCCTATCTACATTTTTAAATATGGTACATGTTGCCGCCTGGGCTGTTGAATGGGATGAAATTTAAGAATGGCCTACTTGAAATCTTGCACACACAAAAAAAAAATGAAATGAAGCCCCTGAAATATTTACGAGATGCCCCAATTTAAGGGATCCTACTAAGGTATTTTAGGTAATTCGCCTAGTATATCTTGGCATGGGTTCAAATGGATAAGGATTAATTTTATCCATATTATTTACACTATATATAATATAAATAACTTTGAAGCTCAAAATATTGAAATATAAATGTTATAACATAGTAATATCACATTTGTTTCCCAACCCATTTGCACTGAGATAATGTAATTCTTAAAATTGACATTTCCTATCAATACATATTACATAAACTAGTTGTTGCCGCCTGGGCTGTTCAAAAAAATCCAAAATAAAAATGGGAATAAAACTCCGCCGTACGGCTTAAAATAGGGGCAACTAATAATCAATAAAAAAAGTTTCTAATCAATTTAAGATTGCCAAAAGAAAAATATTTTTTGTCAACACAAAATAAGTTTGTGTCAGTTAAATAAATGCAACTAAATAGTCAAATACGAACAACCGAATCTTTTATTACTGAATTAAATAATCAAGAAATATAACCATCCATATTACTTATATTCAGTTCTGCATTTTGCTCGAATCATTTGAATAAAATGAACTACAATTTATAAAAGTGATATGCTACATGCAGTTTTATTATAATAATGTTCTAACCAATGAAAAAAAATAGAATACAACTATATGAATTTACAATAATAATATGAACAATGTATTTTAAAACGAAACTTGAACCAAGTTTTTACTGATTCATACAAAAAAAAACAAACTTAACTTAACGTATATATTTTTACAACAAGTACATATATTTCTTTTTGAATAAAACGACTAAACAATACAGGCCGCTGATAAGGCGTCCTAACAGCTGATGGCGCACAAGCACTACCACCTGACCACACCAACCAACAAATTATTTTTGTTATTTTCAATATCTTATTTTAATTTTTAATATTTAGTTAAATAACAATTATAATTGTTTGTTTTCTCGGAGTTTATTATTTATATTTTATGTTTCAGACAATCTATTTTTACAAATCACTCTAAAAAACAAAATAACAGTTATTTTGCCCAATCTCAATATTCTATCATGTCTAATTGAATCGAGTTTGATCTTAAAATTTAAAATATGTCTGTAGTTTTATACGTAGATGGCAGGAGGCTGAGACCGAGAAATTTCGTGATAAAAATAACAACACCCGCGCTTCACATTCAGTCATTACTTTAAATTGTTAATTTCTATAATACTGGTCCAAAAGTTGTTACTTAGTGGTATTTATAATGATAATAATATTTATCTTGTAGTTTATTAAGTAGTTGCTGTTGTTTGTCTTAAAAACTAACTTATAATCATATTAATAACGTAATGGTATGATAACGAATCTGAATAAAAACCCAATTAAATTGTAATTTAGTATAAATCAAGCATTGTCGATGTACAATATTATAGTCAAAAGTTTATTAGCATGTGAATAAGCCATACCGTTTAATATTTGATTTAATTCATATTTCGAAATATACCAAATAGTTATGTATTAATGTTTATTATTTTATTTGTAATCTATCATTTTTAATTTGAACATTTTTTAAATTTTTATTTGAGTAATTTAAATTTTAATCTAGTACAGTAAAATATTTTAAACATAATTTGCTATATATATTCTATTTATAAAAAATAGCACAGACATGATCTATCAATTTACATTAAAAGTGGTCAGTTTACTTTGGGTAAGTGCAAAATTCGTAAACAAATTTTACGTACAATTTTTTTTATTTTTGAAAAATAGCTAATTATAATTAACAAAAGAAGATGAACAAATTTCCAATTTATCTTCTACTTAGTTAAATGTATTAGTATAAAGGCTGTCAGGGGTACATCTAAACTTTTCTATCGGGAGTAATAAAGAAAATATTTTTATTTGAATAGCAACCAAAATGAAATTTTGACTGGAAATAGTTTTTTTGAATCATAACTGTTACCGATAACATGCTCTCAGTGATTAACACTTCAGATCGGTGGTGGTTTTTCAACCTTTTTCTGGAAGAGTCCAAAAAATATCTTACTATATTAAATATAATTATTAATATATATTTTATTAAATTTTATAACAAAAAATCTAATCTTCCTTTTTGTTTTATATAATCTTGCGAGAACTGCATAAACTGTTAAATAATTTTCATCTTTATTTATTGTCATCATTGCCAACCCGTTTAGTTTAGCCAAGTAATTTTTTTTAAATTAAATGTATTTCTTTTATTTCACTAATTATAATTAAAATCTTAAATAATGCGTATTAAGTTATAAAAATGATTTACCTCTGTCATAGTATTTTTTAAATATGTTTTGATTAGCTTTAAATTTGAAAAGTTGCGGTTTATTACAGTGGAGACTAGTAAAGTAACAAGGATTTGATAAACTTTCGAAATACTTGGGTATATTTCTTTATTGCTGACTGTTATAGCTTGAAGACCACTTTCTGTTTTTTAATCTTTTTTGCCATTTTTATATTCTTCTCTTTGATATAGTAAATACAGTAGATAACAGCGAATGATTTATTAATTCTATATATTCTTTATAATAATATGCTAATTGAATAAAATAATCTACATTTTCTTCTGTTTTGATGACTGAAAATTATTAAGTTTAATCTTGTGACTGACATACCATTGTTCGAGTTCTGTTACGTAATAATCAATATATGAAATAGATATAAATGTTAAGTAATATTTCTCGACGGATTTTGTTTGAATATTCATTGTGTGTATCTGTTCTCATAAAACTCTTGGCATTTTTATTTTCATTTAAAATTTTTTAGCTAATTTACGTACAATTTTATAAATATATCGAAATTATTAAATAAAAACAAATTTGAATAGAGAATTGTTTTTTACATGATATTTTATTATAAAAAAATTTTTAGTATTTGCTTAAAACTTTTATTATAATTCTATAACGTTTATGAAATTATAAGTTTAATATAATTATAAATGATTTAACATAACGTTTATGTTAAATCTTGTCTGTCAAATACGGAATTTATTGAGATGAAATAACAGACATAGTGTAATTATTGCCACTTGAGAAGTAAGTAATTTGAAAATAAGTAAAAATACATTTATAATCTCTATATATTTGATTCCTGGGAACCTCGTTACAACTAACTATTTTATCCAAACTGTAAAAATATATCTATGGAAAAATTAAATAAGTTCCAAATATTTTATTTAAAATAACAAGAAATCTGATCTATGCAACGTGTACAATAATTAATGCTCGCAGCAGCTCCTGAAGAGGTCTAAACCCGTTGAAACCCTTGTAAATTCGCCATTGCTTTAGACTACTTGTAGTCAATATATACAATTATTGACTGAAAGTTTTTTTTATTTTCCATATATCCCTTAAAGAAAACTTTCAAATTTTTTTATATAAATAAGACAGAAATGTAATGAGTACTAAAAGTAATTAATTGACATGATGAATAATATGTTACTCATATCGGGACTGTTCTGAATTTACCTACTTACAGGGGGGGATTCTAAATGACAACTTTTTCACAAAAAATTAACTTTTACACTTAATTTTTGAAAGTGTTCCGGAAAGTCTGACACTTTTATATATATCCTAAATTAAAGCTAAATATTATAATTTATTATGGAAAAAAAAATTCTGACTTTATTTTGTCTTCATGGAGAAAACAGACATCAAATTTAATAAAAAAAATACGATTATTATAAAAAAAATTTTTTTATATTTTTAACTTTATAACGCTATAACATTTTGAAAAATGTATGGATTATTATAATTTTTTTTTGATAAGTACTATTTATATTTATGTATTATTCATATATGTATNAACAATACTTAAATTTTCGAAAATAAAGTGTTACATATGAGCCGTTCGCTGCAATAATGACCTAAGGTCACTTAGGTCGTTTTTCGGGCGACACTAGAAACGGGTAGATAAACTATTCATAAGTACCCCTACCAAATTTCATAAAAAAATATCAATTATTGAGGCCGTGGTGAACAAATGAATATAGGCGCGTAAAAGAAAGCGCTGCGCCAATTCACAGTTGCATTCCCGTGTAACAGCTGATTAGCATAGTGCGTTAGTATACAGAGGCTTTTATAAATAACTATTGTTTAATATTATCCACTTGAAGAATAACAGCTATGGATGTATCAACATCAACAACTTCAACTTCCATGGCTAGTGACAATCCGGGGTTAAAAAGAAAGTTAAAAAGTGGAAAATGGGCCCGTAACAAAAGAAAAGATAAACGTAACAGCGGCAAAGCGTATAAAAATATAGCTGGAAATGATGTATCTCGCAAACAGTTTAGAAAGATAGAACATTGTTGTCGGGCCCAATGTTTTTCAAATTTTAATAGAGATTCCCAAAAAGAGTTTTTTAGAAATTTTTATGTTTCACAAGATAAAGAAAAACAGGATACTTATTTAATGAGTTGTGCACATCGTGAAGGAGTTAAACGTCATAAACTGGCTCCCGTAACAAAAAACCGAGAGTGTTCGTGGAAGTACAGTTTAAAATTACATGGAAAAGATATAAGTGTGTGTAAAGAGTTCCTTATTAGTTTATATCAAATCAGCGATGGCAGAATGAAGACCGTATTAAGGTTTTGCAAACAAAGCGTTTCCCAAGCTACAGAAAATCGTAGCAAACAGCCGAATCCTAAAAAAAATACCTGATGAAGTTTGGGCCTTAGTTAAAGAGTATTGGTTCCTTATACCTCATAAAAAGTGAATAATAATTATAATTAATATAATTTTATGACTGATTATTTGAAAAAATCAATAACTTTTAGTCGTTCGCCTGAAAAACGACCTAAGTGATTTAATATTTAAACGGTTATTTAACAATTAAAACATTAAAATTTTAGTTCTTTGATCATGAATTTTCATTGTATGATACTGCTACTTGCATTTGAAAAACTTAGTTTTCTAATTCTCGTCATTCTCCTTAAAATAATACACTTTTAAATCTTTTAACCTTGTTTTCTCAAAACTATGATTTGTCACTTAGGTCATTATTGCAGCGAACGGCTCATATATTTATTTATTCATATATTACACTTATAAATCATAAAAATTGTAATCAGAATATAAATAAGGAAATAGAAGATCATGTAGCTTTTGGAATAATCCATTAGTTTTTAAAATTAAACATTATCTACAGATTTTACAGATGGTCTTGTATGAGCATGAAAATGATTGAGTTACAATAATATTTATTGAATAAAATGATGTAATATAATTTTCTCTCGGGATATGAGTACGAGAAGATGCATTAGAAGATGTAAAATATAGAAAAGCAAATGATGTTTGAAAATTTATTAATATAGTAATAATTTGAAATAGAAATTATTGTGATTAATGATCACACATAGATTATCAACAACGCCACTCGTACCAGTAGTTATCTAGGCTTGTGCTGACTGTGAGTCGTGTCAATAAATACCTCGAGTAGTATAGGAACCACTTGTAGGTCCTCTATCTTTGCAAGAGAGTCTTTATTATAATTGACTACACAGGTAATCTACTCAAAGATTGGACTAGGCTGGCTAACTTCGTACAAACATTATTGATGCTCTTTATTTATTCAGACAATATTTTATTCTAGAGAACACTATATTTTTCAGGTTCCTTACTTAATTCATGTATTCATTATTCTTAACTTTAAACCTTATAGATCTTTTGTGAAATATGATTTTACCTTAATGATTTCTGGAGTAAGGTTCAAAAAATGAATATACTTCAGTTTTCTATGAAAAATCATATTTTGTCAAGTCACTTCTTGCATTCGTTGAAAGTTTGTAAGGTGAAGTAGTAGAGAGAGAGATTGACAGTTTTTATGCCCTTTTATATTAAATTGATTTCATCTATATGTGCAAGACCTTTTACTATTATCTGTTTATTACTCAATTGTGTTATTTATTACATATTATTTTACTTAAATAGATGATTTGTCACAACTAAAGAATTTCTCATAGTTATTACATTAGATTTGGATGAATGCATTTTTAGACATAATTCTCGGAATAGCTTAAAGGATTGACACGAATATTTTATATTTAATTTGATGACTAATAGACAATAATTTATAGACTACTTAATAATTAGTGGTGTATGTGTTATAACAAAATACAATTTGTAAATATGACGTTATTTTTTTTTTTTGTTGAAGTATCATAAAATGTACATAATATTTTGCAAGGTGCAGATATAAAATCGTATCCTAATAAAAACTATGTGTTTGGAGCACTAAAAAAATTGTCTGTTTTTCGCGAATAATTTTCCTAGGTTTATGTTACTAAACTTTTTCATTTAAAAAAAAAAGTTGAAAATCGGAGATCTTTATATTTATTTATTCTAGCATTGACCAACTTTTCAATGCTTTATTATATAATACTTGTTTATTTCTTAATAGATAATTTTCTTATTTAGAAAAATCTAATATAAGAAAAGTAAGAAAGATTAATCGATAATAACTTTCGGACCAGAATTTTAGAAGTTATTGAAATTTTTTGTACCTAGACAATAGGAAAAATGTGACTAAAAAATAACTAAAGACAAAAATAACAACACTTTTTTCTTACCTCTAGCAATCACTAAATAAATTCTCAATACTATATTATTTAGCAATTAATTAAGTGGTTCATGATAAGCGAATCACTCTTTATATTTAAAAAAATCACACACAGTTCAA